ACTTTTTACCTTACCCCATTGTCCTCCTTAAAATACTCACTCACTATTTCCACAACTTATCTGCCAATCCCCAACTGGATCCTCACTTCACACAATTTTCCAATTCACTGTACATTCTGGTGGTGCCATATAACTGTTACATGGGGTATAACTCTGAAGAGTTTTTTTCATACTGCCCCACGTTGGGTGCCATTTGTGGTTGGATGGGGCCAGCCCCACCACCACCAATCACAGGTTCCATAGGCACAATTGTGTGGTTGGGATATATAAATATTAAAGTCATAGAGAGCATGAGAGATAAATGAGAGATAGAAATAATGGAGTCAGACACGTTTCATGGTAGCATGCTCACCTCTGCCCTGCTTGGTGATCCATGTGGAGTGAGGGGGATGGGAAGGAGGGCAGGGGGAAAGGGAACAGGGGAGAGAGGACGAGAGAGGAGAGGTGGAACCCACAAGAGACCAAGAGGGGAGCCTCAGAGAAAGCCCTTTATTGCTAGCCTAGGCCTATATTATCTTTGGGCCGAGTGCAAGCCCACTAATTACAGGTAAAGACATACATCACAGGAAGGGGTTGCACTATAGGTTATACAGCAATGACAGGGGAACAGTCTAGGGATTTACACGCAGTAGGAAGAGGATGGAGTGGTCGACATGTCACAAGATGGACGGATCCTAGATTTAGGATGGCAGCCTAACTTTGGTTGTCACTGAGCAGGTTTGACCTGTTCTCTGGATCTCCATAGAAACCATTATCAGTAGGGTGTCAACCCCACCTACAGAAACCAAGCTAATGGTCCAAAGCCTTTAGGGAGAAGTAGCCCACTGTCCTTAACACCAGGGAGCTGCCTTACCTGTCAGGCAACTGACTGCCTTCAGGGAGGATGTCTCTAAGCATCTGACCTCCCCTCATATGCTAGCAAAAAGCCCCTAATGTTTGGCATGTCTTTGGGGTGACAAAAACTGAGGAAAAGTCTTTTTATAATCCCACAAGCTAAGTCTGGTACAACATTGTTGGAACCTTTCTTAACTTGATAAATTAAAACAGGTATTCTTTACCTTTTTAAACACTTTTGTGAATTGGATGAAGGTTCACAGAGCAGGAAATCATCTGTTTTAACATTAACAATTCTTACACATTTTGTTTCATCCATTTCAATTCCTCAAGGCACTATCACTTAACCCAATTCTACCCAGTGTTTCCACTTCTTTTCCTCTTACAAGCTTTTAAGACCCTAGACACTAGGCATTCATTGAACTAAGTAAAAAAAAAAGGCACTAAACATGTTATTAGGCCAGTTTCCTGGGATGTCCCATGAAAACATGACCCTAAACTTCCAAACCAAGAAACCAAATCCCATGAGGTGTTTGGTTGTACAGACTCAATCCTAGGAGGTAGTCTTTGTTTACTCATTGTTATAAATATATCTGTCACACAGCTTTGCTAACTTAAGGTTTTTACTGGTGTATAATTTATTGGCAGCTCTTACAATAACCAGCTGTACAACCCTACCCTAATCACTTCAATATTTCCATCACTGTTAGTTAACTTCTCCCCTCCCTTTTGTCCATCATAAGGACTAATAAACTGTTCTTTATACATTTGTCTTTTTTTGAACGTGTGTAAGTGAGTTTGTTTAGTTTCCCTTTTTGGTTTTGATTCATTTCATTTAGTGTAAAGTCTTACATCTCCATTGCAGCATGTGGCATTTGTTTCTTCTACTAGTGGAGAGTAGTATTCTAGTACATGTATGTGCCACATTTTGTTTACTCGTCTATGGATAGACATTTAGGTGTTTCCACCCTTTGGCTATTGTGAATGGTATTGCAGTGAACATTAATTCACAACTCTCTGCTGAAGTCTGTCTTCAGATTTTTGAGGTATCTAGGAGTGATATTAGTATATACCTCTACATTTGCTGGTAACTGTAAGGTCAGCAGTTCAAACCAATCAGCTGTTCTGATGTAGAAAGAGGAGGCTCTGTGCTTTCTTTTTTTTTTTTTTCATGCGTATTATTTTTTTTAAGTCATTTTTTATTTGTAAATTAGGTGAGGTTTACATTTCACCTTTGTATTCAGCAGTTTAAATTAGTAATCAAACTCCCCGAGGGTTTACCTTTCCCCTCCTCCTTCATTCCTCCTTTCTGCCTTGTGGATTCTTGCCTTTTTAAAAATTTTTAATCATTTTATTAGGGTCTCATACAACCCTTATCACAATCCATACATACATCAATGTGAAGAGCAAATGTTTTGAGAATGATGAGGGCAATGAATTTACAAATGTGCTTTACACAATTGAGGCTGTGTGCTTTCACAAAGATTTATAGGTCTTGGAAATACCAGGGAGCCAGTCTACTGTATAATAGGATCACTATGAATTAGAATCGACTGTATGGAAATGGGCTTATTTTCATTTTTAAGGTTAATTCTATTTTTAGTGGGTTTTTTTTCAGAAGCCACCACCCTGTTTTTGCATAATTTTATTAGTAATGTGCTTGATTATGACTTTGTTACTAGGCTAAAAAATTATGTCATATTTAAGACTCAAAACAGCTCTGCTAGGTTTAGTTGTAATTTTTTTTTTTTAAATAGGACTAATGATAGGATGTTATCAGGGTAATAACACTTGAAAGTAAGAGTCCATTGTTTATGGTTCTAATTAACAACATATTTTCTTTACAGAATAAAGTAATTAAGACTGAAATGAAGTGTGTGCTTATAATTCTTGTTTTATGCAGTGGCCATGTTCACTTAAAAGTAGTAGTACTTAAGAAAATATTAGTACTGGTATTTACTCTGTTTGGATACTTTGAATAGAGAATGTAAGGTAGTCACAATGATTTCTTAAAGATTGCTGCTATGTATATGAGGCAATATTCAACAAAAGCCAGATTTTTTTAAGCTACTGTATATACTTGTGTATAAGTCAAGTTTTGCAACACATTTTCAATGCAGTTTTTGTGTTACAATGAGGCGCCTCAGCTGATAATCAGGTGCAGCTCATACTCGAGTATATATGGTATCTTTAAATTTTTTTACAAAGCAACCTTATCACCTTCAAAGTACACTCAATTACACTTAATACATTTGTCAAATTTGTTATTCGATTATTGGAAACATTTTTCAAATGCATCTCTTTGGAAGGCTGACAGCACCTCCCTCATTTTCTCTTCACCTATTCTGTGTTGTTAAATTGCTGTCCTTTCATGTCCCTCATCGTTCATTCGTGGAAACAAAAAGAAGTCACGCAGAGTGAGGTCAGGTCAGTAAGGTGTGTGAGGCAAGAGAGGCATGCTTGTTTTTTGCCAAAATGGCGCTCTGAGATGACATCGTTCCCCATCTGCCACAAGTCAGGCCTATTTTGTCGCACACTTTTACGCAATCTTTTCAGAACTTCTGAATAGAAAGCTTGATTACAGTCTGACCTGGTTGAACAAACTCCATCGTATTATGAGTTGGAAGTTGATGGTCAATCGACACTTCACCTCTTTTGAAATGAGAAAACCACTCACATACTTGAGTTGTTCCCATAATACTATCTTTGTAAGCAGTGTTCAACATCACAACAGTTTCTGCGGCATTTTTCCCAAGCAGGAAACAAAATTTTATAGCTGCACGCTTTTCTCTTAAATCAGTCATCACAAAAAATGAGGGTGGAGTGACACTGCTTTTATCAAAAAATTCACTGGGACCAGAAAGAATCTTTCCAGGTTATGCCACTGGGTGCACTATCTCAGAGCATGTTGTCAGGGCTCACCTAGCTAGAAAAATGTGCACTACCAAAGCTCTGCCCCGCGGAGCTTTTTTCCATTTTTTGTGGGAGGAGGTTCCCCCTCATAAACCATTCTATTTTTTTCCCTTTTAGCTCCTGGTCTATACAAATTAAAAATTAAAACTCTTGCAGATGTTACATCTAGTTTCTGAAAGCACGAGGAAAACCCCGGAGAGCATTTACACTAGGTTGAAGACATAACCAAAATGTCTTAATGTGATACCCTCTCAGTTCTAAAACTAGCAGTTTAAAGAACCAGGGAGAACTCTTTGGGCTCAAGTTTTATCCAAATAATAGATAGGCCGGTAAGTGAGTAGTAGCACCAGGGAAGTTGTTCTTCAGAACAATCACAGCTGTAGCATTTGTCCAGGGAGTCAGCAGCAGCTCAGAAGGAAGGCACGATTAGAACTGGGAGTCCAATGGAAACGGGAAATGCTGGGGGTGGGGGGCACAGGGGGTGGCGGAATAGTGCTGTTACATTGTAGGACTGCAGTCAGTCTTACAGAACAAAATAAATATGAATTGTTGGATGTAAAAAGAGTTAGCTCTAAGTTTTCACTCAAATCACAATAAAGAGTTAACAAATATTTGAGCAAAAGCACATTTCTAAAAACAAGTTTGGAGAAAAGACTGAATGATTCATTTCTATTTGCATTCACTGTGTCATTAAATTGAGTGGATTTTGGATTGACTGGGTGTTTTGGCATTATGGTGTGGGATTAAACTTAAAACATTTATAGCCTTAAATGCCTTATAGCAGTGGTTCTCAACTTGTGGATCATGACCCCGTTGGGTGTCGAAAGGACCCTTCACCGGGGTCGCCCGATTCATAGCAATAGAAAAATTACAGTTATGAAGTAACAAGGAAAATAATTTTATGGTTGGGGGGGGTCACCACAACACAAGGAACTAACTGTATGAAAGGGTCACGGCGTTAGGAAGGTTGAGAACACGGCCTTATAGAGAACAAGTAGAATAAGGGTTCCTGGGGGTAAAGTGGGAGGTGCAGTGGTAAAGAGGAACTGATGTCCAGGAGTTCAAGGAGGAGGAAAATGTTTTGAAGCTAATTGTGGTGACAGTTGTAGAATACTGCTTGATGTGATTGAAAGATAGAATGATATCTGCATTAGCTCTCATTAAAGTGGCTTTGGAGATGAAAACAAGACAAAACCCATGTGTCCATGGTACAGCATCCATAATTTTGTATGTTTTTGTCTCCCCTGGTGTAGGTTCACGTCAGGGCTGGTCTCTTTCATGGTACTGAACTCCTGTGTAAAACCGTTGTAAGCACGGAAATATCAGGGAAAAACGATCACATTTGGAATGAACCACTCGACTTTGATATCAATACTTGTGACTTACCAAGAATGGCTCGATTATGTTTTGCTATTTATGCAGTTTTGGATAAAGTAAAAACGAAGAAATCAACAAAAACTATTAATCCTTCTAAATATCAAACCATCAGGAAAGCTGGAAAAGTGGTAATGACAAATGACAAAAATGAAATGTTTTCATTTTTAATAGAAGTTTAATACAATAGGATAATTTAAGACATTTCAAAAGAAGTAAAATTATATCTGCAACGGGTGGGGAATGCTCTAAAATTGATGTGGTGATCATGGTACAGTTCTTATTGATATGATTCAGTGACTGAACTTTCGAATTGTATGATATGTAAATTGTGTGCCAATAAAACTTGGGGAAAAATTATATCAAGTTACTTTAGTAATTAAGAACTGACCTTAAGAGTTTTCTACATTTAAAGAAACCAGAATATATTTGTATATATACAAAGGGATTTCAAAAATTTTATAAGAAATCCATTATGCCTTACTTCCATTTTCCATGAACTTTTCTAAGCCTCTTTTATACAAAATTATGTCCTTTTATTCTGAACAAGAAAATTCAAGCATTTCCTCCACCTATCTTCATATATTCTTCTAAAAAGCCATTCTGATGACTTAAAAGTCACAAGAAAGGCTATTATTAGTGTCTTTCTTTATTCTGATACAGAATTTTGCTCAAAGAATTTGAGTGTTTGTAATTTTATTTTGATAGGCTGTGGCCAAATCAATAAATATCCCTGGTGTGTACATGAAACTTCTACCAACTCATTGCATTCTTTTTAGAGATATAAATTCTACAATACAGAGACATTACCTCCTACTGCGTCATGATTTGTAGAGACTGAAAACTCATAAAGCATAGTGCCTGACCTTCTATCACATACATTTTCCTGAACAACTTAAAATTCATCATCATTTCCAGTGGCTGCTCAATGAACAGTTCATTTTACAGATATGCCATTTTATCACAAAACATTGATTTGGTTTTAGGGTTAAACATTTTTACATGTAAATCTTGTTCTGATTGTGGGTGTTTTTCTTTGATTTCTTGAAGTAACGTTTCTGAAACAAAGGGCATATTGACACCTGAAAATTCATACTTGATGTCTTTTTCCAACAGCATTATCCTGTAGCCTGGGTAAATACAATGGTTTTTGACTTTAAAGGACAATTGAGATCAGGAGAAATAATATTACACAGCTGGTCTTCATTTCCTGGTAAGATATGTACCCTAATATTTGAGTGACTTTTTGCATATTGACTACTTAATGTTTCTATATGACTCATCATTTTTAAAATTCAATAAACATTTTTATTCTGCTAAATTGTTTCCATAATTAATTTTAAATATAGTTTTAAAGTATCCTATATCTGAATATATTTCTTATTTCCATGAATATCCTTGCTTTAAATGATGTATTTTTATAAATAATTGAGATATTATCCTGAGGAGTAATATCTCCTTGGTAATATTCTCTATGAATCTAATTGTACTAAATGTTTTTACTAGTTACGATGTTGTTCTGCTGTTGAGCTCCTCAGACTCATGACAACCCGATGTGTGCAACATAGAATTGCCCCTCTGGGCTTTCACGGCGGTGCTCTTCAGAAGCAGATGACCAGGCCTTTCATTGTAGAGTAAAACTTAGTACAAACTTAGCGTAGTAGCGTAAAAACTTAGCATCTCTCCGTATGGTCAAACCACCAGTAGGCAAGCATTTAGCCATCTGTACCACCCAAGGGGTAATATGGTAATAGTGCTAGCAATATTTGTTCTTTGGATAGCTTTAACCTGAGGCTTGAGGTATGTGTAGTACCTCCTACCTGTCTTTGTTTCTCAAATATACTCTCAATACTTCTGTGAGGAGGCTGGGTTTATTTTATGTTACAGATGAGGAAAATGAAGATTAGAGTGATAAGTAAATTAGTTAGTCTTATGCAGTTGACTTATCTCATATTTGCGTGAAGGACTGCCTATTTCATTATGTTACTTTTCTAGTTGTTGGAATTTTTAGTTTAAACTTTGCCTCTATGAATAATAGTGATTTTCTTTTCCTTGTGTCTTCTTCCAATTTTAATATATTTAATAGAGCTATAAACTTATTTGAAATTTTTTTACTTAATTATTTTTGTAATGATAGATATTTTTAAATGTCTGTATAGCAGTATTACATGAGGAATTGCTTTTATAAGATGTTATCTACAGATATATTTATGAACAAAAGCCTAACATTCTAATACTGTGTGTGAGTATATAGTCTCTCATTTCTACCATTTTCTTTATATCCCTCCAATGATTGACTCTTTTTAAAAAAACCACTTTTTTCCCAATGAGAAACTGTAGTTTCATAGTAGAGTAAAAACTTAGTACAGTACTATACTTTGTTGGAAAATCTTAATTTAGACTCACAATATTCTCTGAAATTAGCCAAGTAACTTGTGTTAGTCTGAGTTGACTAGAGAAACAAATTTATAGACACTTGTATGTGTATAAGAAAAAGCTTTAAAAAAAAAAAAAAGAATGAAAGAAAAGAGCTTTATATACAGGATAAATTGAATATTGAGGAAACATCCCCGCCCAGCCCAGACCAAGTCCATAAGTCCAATATTCGCTCATAAGTCCAATACCAATCTACAAAGGCCTCTTCAGACTCACGAAACACATGCAGTGATGCCGAGTGCAGAAAGATCACAGGTCAGTGTGTGGATAGTTTGTGGATCCAGTGATGGTGGCAGCATCTCAGCACTGGTGTTGGTCTCCACGTGGTTCCTCCAGGTCCAGGGCTTTCCCTGCCATCAGCCTTTCTCAGTGTGTCCTGTCGGGAGAGAATCTCTCAGGGAGTGAGCCTATGTCCGACCTCCAGCGAGTTATTTATCTCCTTAGCACCTCCAAATTAGGTCATCAAGCTACTACCTGATTGACAGGGCTAGACTCCACCCCTTCACTCTGAATCCTCAAATTGACACCAGATTATGTAGCTACCACATAACTTGACTAATAATTTTGGTAAAAATGACACTATTGGGTTATTTTAATTTGGCATGCCCTGAACTTCACTTCATTTCTAAGAAATCTTTGATGAAATTTAACGAATGAGTGCACTTAGTTCTTCTGTACATTTGCACTATAATTGTCACATTTCTTGCAGCAAGCAAGAAACAAAGGAACTGCAATCGATTTTTAAAATATATAGCTCATCATTAAAGCTGTACAACAAGGCAGCTTCAAAAGATTTATGGGAAAAAAAAATTTTTTAATGTAGAACCTAGCATTTTACTTAGATCTTTATTAAACTGTTGGAATTGAAGGCCAGACATAGGTAATGAACCTCCCAAAAGAGATCCTTAAAGGCATTTTCTGCTGCAGTGATTTTCAACCTTCCCAATGCCACAACCCTTTTAATACAGTTCCTTGTGTTGTGGTGACCACCCCAACCATAAAATCATTTTCTTTCTTTTTTTTCCCATAAAATTATGTTCACTGCTACTTCATAACTATAATTTTGCTACTGTTATGAGTAGGTGACCCCTGTGAAAGGGTTGGTCGACCCCCAAAGGGGTTGTGACCCACAGGTTGAGAACCACTGGCTTAGGGCAAGCACTCATGGAGTGAACATGTAAAAAAACTGTCTTCTCTCTCCTCCCTTCTGTTAACACCAGCCGGGTCTAACTCAAAGCTGGAAAATTGTTTTTTCACTTCACTTTTTTTCCCCCTCAAACCTTTTGAAGTCCCTTTGTATAATCACATTTATATATATAAGTGATATATATATGTAATGACATTCATAAAAACAAGTCTATATTTGCATTTCCTTTATATATATATATACATACATACATACATATATAAAGGAAATGCAAATATAGACTTACTTTTATGAATGTCATTACATATATATATAAAGGAAATGCAAATATAGACTTGTTTTTATGAATTAGCGTAATGTAAGAAAGCATAGGACATACTTTGCTTTTTTCCCCACCTTATCTGCATACAGAACTGTTTTGTTGGGTTTTTTTTAATAATTGAGGGTTCTTAGAGCTCTTATAACAATCCATATATCCACTGTGTCAAGCACATTTGTACACATGTTGCCAGCATCCTTTTCAAGACATTTTATTTCTACTTGAGCCCTCTGTATCAGCTTCTCGTTTTTTCCCCTCTTCCCCCACCCTCCCCTGTTTTTTTAATTGTTATTTCCTTCCTGTGGAATGGGAAAGTACATTAGCTGAGCTCTAGTGTCTTGTTTTATTAACAGATCATTTTATTGGATGCTCTTACAGCTCTTATAATAATCCGTACATCAATTGTATTAATTATATTTGTGCATATGTTGCCATCATTATTTTCTAGACATTTACTTTCTATTGAGTCTGTAGTATCAGCTCCTCTTTTTTTGCCCTTCCTCCCTACTGCCTCCCTCATGACCCCAGCTCTAGTGTTTTTGACAATACTGAAATTCTAAGAAACATGCACAAGTCAGTAAATGAGACATGGTTAGTGTGTTAAAAAAAATAAAGGGTTCTTTGAAGAGAAAGCAGTTGGTGAGGTAAAAGAAATATTTGAATTGTGTTAATATTATCTCGGCTAGCAGTTAGAGGATAATAAAGGGATGCTGGAAACATTGTATTTGGTGAGAATGTCATTGGTGACTCCCAAAAATGTTAGCTTAGGTACTTTGATGATCATAAAAAACAGATTTCATGTGACTATGAAGTCCATAGTTGGGAAATAATAACAATTCTATACACTGTGTAATGTTGCTGGATGGAGAGCAACTCCATAATTTTCTTTCATATTAGGAATACCAACTACATTTGAAGAGGTAAAGTAGCCATTAATTTATTAACTTTCTTATTTTAAAGATACATGCAAATTCACAAGGAACCTTATTAACTGCAAGGTCAACAATTCAAACCTTCCAGCCACTTTTCAGGAGAAAGACGAAGCTGTCAGTTCCTGTAAATATTTACAATCTTGGAAAGTCTAGGGAGCAGTTTTTCTCTGCCCTATAGTCTCATTGTGGCCAGATTGACTCAGTCAGAGGGTTTGGGTCTTGGTGTGCAAACTCACATTAAAATTTTGTGCCAAATATTAACAGAAAAAAATCGTTGAGCTTTCCTTTGGAAACTCTTTAAAAGAATTATATAAAACCATTAAACGTAGTTTAGTATCAAAAACAATTCGAGTCAAAATCTTTTGTGTGTTTTAGATGAACTTGAAGAAATGTTGAATCCAATGGGAACTGTTCAAACAAATCCATATACTGAAAATGCAACAGCTCTGCATATTAAATTCCCAGAGAATAAAAAACAGCCTTATTATTATCCTCCCTTTGATAAGGTAAGCTTGTTTATTTAAAAGGCCATTGTGTGTGAATTAATTGGATTATTAGTTCCTAGCTGTTTCTGTTTATAACTTAAACTCTATAAGTATGCTTCTCTCTCAGAACTTCACCTATACTGACAACTTAGTTTAATGAAAGACTGCTAAGCAGGAAGCCCTTGAACTCCCTTTACTCTTGGCTTTGTCTCTGACCATGGCATTTCTGGAGTTCATTTCCCCCATTCATCCAAACCATTCTCTGAAATCCTTTTCAACCTAAAAAACGTATTCACATGTGACCCTTACCCATGTGGAATGTTCAGTGGATACATCCAGTATATTGTTTCAGAGATTCTAGAGATTATCATTCTGTGTTACCATTTGGATTCACTGAACAACTGGCTTAAGTTGAATGAATGTTAGTTAGATATTGCTATGTTACCATGATTTTTGTGGAATCTTTAGGGAGGGCTCCCATATCTAAAGAGTTGCTTAATGGAGGAAGGAAGGAAGGAAGGAAGGAGTTGCTCAGTGGACAAGCTAAAAGTAGAGCACCTGACGAGGGGTGAAAATGAGGCTATGGAAGCATGCTGCTCTACAGAGCTCAGCTATTATGTGCTTTGTCTTCAGCTTTGATACCCTTGTTTTGGGTGAATTGCTACTGATTTTTACCAGGAAATATTCTGAAAACAAATTCCCAGAAAGTAACAAAGAGCTTTTTACATATTCTTAATCCATTTGAGAACAAGCTACTTTAGAAAATTGATGCACTAATAATATTTTAATTTATCCACTTATAAGATTAATTATATTTTAATGTTCAACGCTATCAGACATATGTAGACTAGATACTTTTAAGCAGACTGTGAATTGAATTTCTATAACCCAGTGTTTCTTTTTTCACTTTCATTCAATTGAATTTCATCCTTTCAAAAAATATGTTTTCATTTCAACTTCTTTTATAATGTTTTTAATTTTTTACTAATACTACCCAACTAAATTAAACTTAGGGGGTTTTGCAATAGGAATCCCACATATGCCAGTAGAAAAAGGTACATTTTGACTCATTACTTTTAAACCATGGCTTTAGTTTTCCCCTATAGATGGGATTTTCTATGTGTAGTAGCTGCTTATGAAATATTTAGTTGTCCAGAATATGATATGATATATATTTAATAATGATACTTTCTTTTGGTTCAAATGTGATTTTTTAAAATAGTTTTAGAAATGTACACCCTATATACAAGTATTTTTAATATTTCAAGCGAAATTGAGGTTCATTGAAATATTCTATTTTAACATTGTTGTAGTCATCTGCAACTGGCCACTCACCTCTCTGTTACATTTCTTATCTCTTGAGGAGTCTGTCTTAAAGATGATTAAGTTGGAATGGAGATTTATGCTTTAATATACACACGTGTAATCATGTTTATACTTACTGATTTTCCTTGGATTGTACAAGTTACATATAGTGTCACTATAAAAATTCCAATAGTGCATTTGTAATAGGTTAGAAGTCCCCAATCCTATGTTTTTGTGTAATTTACTATATGTTGCTATAATCACTTAATGTAAGATTTTGCTTTTAAAGTGTCTTTCCTTAGTATTACTTAGTTTTAATAAGTGTAATAGAATATGGACGAGATGGATCTGAGTGCACATTTGCTCCCTGGGCCCAGCAAATTCCAGGGGTTTTTGTTGAATTCAGTGGAAAGAACATAAAAAAGACTAGTCCTAAGGCACCCAGACGTCTATGTGTGTTCATGGGGGAGAAGCAAGGCTTCCCAGAAAGAAGATTAAGCTGTAAAAAGGGGTGTATATTTGTAAAACGGGTGCCTGTGTAGATCCTTGGACACTAGAGGTGCCCTAGCATACTAGAATATTATCACAACAACTGTTTGACATAGGATGAGAGTTATCCCCATATCATGTATGTGAGGATACAGGTATCCTATTTACCTAGGATTGTATATGTCAATAGGAGGACATGGTCTTTCCATTCTTTGCTCCTTTCAGTATAACAATGAATTCACATCTTTTCCAGGATGAGGACCCTTTCTGAATTAGTGGTTTAAAAAAAATATTTTAAAGCTCTCAGTATTATTTCTACTTTTTTAGTATTTGTTGAGAGAAAGCATATGACCAAAAATTTAATCTACATTTAGCAAACCTTATGTACATTTACATTTTCTTAACTGAATATATTTACCTATATTTCAGGAAAAGTTTAGCATATACAAGACACTGTCTGTGGACCACCCATATTGTACACAAGGGACCACAGTTCCGTACTTCATGGCCATACCATTGTTTTCTTGTTGTCTATAGTTTAAGATTGGAAAGCATTGCATAGTAGCATTTTGCTTTTGAGTTTCATTTTTCTTTTCTCGAGCATGGAAGTGTTAAATCGTAGTAGTTTCTTTTAGTCTTAAGTAAAAATATTGCCATTTATGATTAAAATTCTGTAAGTAGAGCCAAATTTTAATTTTTATTAAATTTTTTAAAACAGATTATTGAAAAGGCGGCTGAGATCGCAAGCAGCGATAGCGCTAATGTATCAGTAAGTATCAAAGGTTTAAAAATGTTTTTCTCTTGTTATAGTATAATGAGCATTATTAGGTACCATCATCTTATTTAAGGTGGTGAATTTATAGAATACCATAGCTCATATGCAAGAACGACCTATGTACATGCAGGAAGATTCCACTACTGGTGTTTGCTCATTGAAAGCCCAGTTTGTAAGTGGTCTGTGTTTAACTTTTTAATACACACAGCTAGTTTGGCAACTAGTCTGTAAGGGCTAGTATAGCTCCTTATAAATTAACCATATTCTCTTTTTAAATATTACTCAGTTTAGTGAAGGGGCTGTAATTTTGTTTCTTGCTCATACAACAGAGTAGCTGTAAACCAGGTCAGACTTCACAGTGCTAAGGACCCAGGTTTCTTCCATCTTGGTGCCTCAAACTCGAATGCAAACTCAACTGTCATAAAGTTGATTTTGACTAATAGAGACCATGTATGTAGGGCAGAGTTAATTGCTCCTGTGGGTTTCCAAAACTGTTCATCTTTACTGGAGTAGTAGCCCAGCATATAACCCACTGTGTCACTAGGGCCCCTTTCTTGATGTCTAAGGAGCCCTGGTGGTGTGATGGTCATGCATTGGGTTGCTAAGTGCAAGGTCCACAGTTCAAAACAAGTAGCTGCTTCTTGGGAGAAAGAGCACTTTGTAATCCTGTCTTGGAAACTCACAGATTAGTTCTGCCCTGTAGGACTCTATAGGCAGGGCCCACTATAAGTCAGCACCAACTCAGTGGCATTGAGTGAGGGGTTCTTAAAATGATTGGACAATTAGTGCTGCTTCTGTGACTGAATTCCACGCAGCAGCAGCAGGAGCAGTTCACTTGGCTTCAGGATACCCTTAGCATGCATCACTTCTGCTCATTTCCCACTGGCCAGAACTTTGTAATAGGGCCTTACTTCGTTGCAAGTGAGGTTGGGTAATGCGGGTTTTGGCTTAATGATCACCTGCCTTGCTAAATTATAAGTTTATAGTGCCAAAGGAAGAAAGCAAGCATGTTTTTTGATGTACAAAGAGCTGTCAGTGGCCCACACACTGTCTTTATTGTTTCTGTTTAGAGGATACAAAATTTATTACTTTGTTGACTTGACTCACATGAGATGTACTATTTCTACCCCATCTACTTTATCATTTAAATTTTTTAAACTTCTTACTACTCTTGTGTCCCTTGTTCTATTTTGTTTCACTTTACTGTGCTTCACAAATAGTGCTTTAAAAATAACAGTAACAACAAATTGAAGATTTGTGGCAACCCTGAATTGACCAAGTCTATTGGCAACATTTTTCCAACGGCATATACTCACTTACTGTCACATTTGCTATTTCTCACAATATTTCAAACTTTCTCATGATGTTATTGTATACTTACTCAATTTACATTTGCCTGATGCTATTTCTTTCTTTTCTTTAAAAAAATTTATTTATTTTAAACAGTTTTATTTGGGAAAAATCTACATATCGTGTAATTCTGTAGTTCAGTCATATCAAGAAGAGTTGTGCTATCATTACCACAATCAATTCTAGAACATTTTCTTCTTTCTTGAACTCTTTGTTATTAGCTCTCCGTTTCCTCCCAACCTCTCCTGTCATCCCTAAGAAACCCTCAGTCCAGTTATTATCCTTGTACATGCACCCATCCTGGATTTCATGTACTGCAAAACATACAAAAACAAAGAACAAAAAAGCTAACAACAATAACAAAATAGAGAAAAGCCTCAATTGAAAAGAAAGCAGAAATTATTGGAAGCTAGAACAATTTATAAGTCAAAATGGAAATTAGATGATAAGGTATTAAATTTTAACCTACCTGTACCTGCCATAATCCACTTCTAACGCATGATAGTAAGGCTGTTCACATCCCTGGTCTGTGGTCAGGGGATTCACTGGAGGCTTGCTCCATGTGTACTTCCCTCCTCCTCCCCCCTTTTAACACAATTTTAAAGGGTCAAAAACTCAGAATTCACTGCCATGGCATCAATTCTGACTCTTGGTGACCCAATAGGGTAGGGTAGAGCTGCCCCTGAGGGTTTCTAAGACTGTTCACTCTTTACCGGAGTCAAAAGCCTCATCTTTCTCCCGAGGAGCAGCTAGTCACTAGTGGTTTCAGATTGCTGACCTTGAGGTTAGCAGCTCAACATGTGACCACTACACCACAAGGACTCCTAAATGGGTCAAATGGGGATCAAATAAGATGGGACATTTTAACTTAACTAAGTCTGCCATAGTTGACTTTATAATGCTCACTGTCTGATAGCAGGGCTATTCACATCCTTCAACTATAGTCAAAGGGGATTCACTACAACCTTAATCCATGTGGGAACAGTGCCATTGAATTGTACTCTTCCACTGTCATCCATAGCCTTCTAAAAACCCGGTGTTCACAATTTAAGCTCTGATTCCATTCCCTCCTTTGGATTTGGATTATATCATTTACAATTCCTGGATCATTACAGGCTGGTGTGCTCTTGTTGACACCTCACTTAAATGGCTGCTTGCTTAAAGACAAGACTTTTAAGACCCCAGACACTATTAATTTTGGTAGTTTCTTCACCACACTGCTATAACACCCATATCTTCAGTGATCTCTGATGTTTTTCATGATTAAATTCCAGCTATTCATTTTTAGCAAAAACATGATAGAAGTGATGGAGTACACACTTCTAATTGTATTTTAACAAGAAACAAGCATTGTCAATTTTACCCTTTATTGTTAATATTAACTGTCCTCACTTGATTAAGACAGTAGCTGATACATATTTTTGTACAATAAATATTCTGTCAGATTTATTTTTAGACCTAAGTAAACATATTCTTCCATGTCAAACTTTAATCACTTGCCATTTAGTATTGCATTATGTCTGAATCAGTATTATTATACTGGAATGTGGTCTCCTGAGTCTTTTTGATATGTTCCCAACATTCTATTAGCATTTCTTTCTTTCTAGTACATTAACATCTCATTGTCATCTCATTGTTTTACTAGAAATATGGTGCTCTCGCTACCCCCAACCTTGGAATTAGCCATTCTCCGGGGACTACTCATTCCTTTGATTTGTGAAAAGCATTTCGAATCCAAGTTTTGGGCACTGAGTGTGCTTATTGCTGAGGAATAATCAATTTCAGGCTTGTTCACAAGACAAACTAGGGAATGTATAACCATGTGATTGATTGCCTCTGTAATATTTGAGTTTATATACCCATATAACAACCCTCACCCCACAACACACACACACACAAACACCTCCCCCACACACTACTTCCATCAATTTTGACTCATAGCAACCCTATATAGGGTGTCCAAAGCTGTAAATCTCTATGGGAGCAGAAAGCTTTCATCTTTCTCCCTTAAAAGGGCCAGTGGGTTTTCATCAGACCTGATTGGAAAACATTCATAAGGGTCAGCACACAGACCTGGAACTATTTATAGTTTAATTTTATTTTTTAATTTATGTTTATTTATTTAAGATACACAGGATAAACCAATCCCAAGGAAAAAATAACAGGACCAATAGTTCTGGGGGGAGGGGGAGCATGGGAGAAGAGAAGGTGGTGGAAAGGGGATGAGGTGGAACCAACAAACCTAGGGACAAGGGAACAAGTGATCTAAAATCGATGATGAGGGCAAGAATGCCTGCTAGGTTTAGATCAAGTGCAACTAGTGGAGAGAAACTACTGGAAGCCGAATGAAGATTAAACATGATAGTGGGACAGGAGGAAAGTAAAAGGAAATAGAGGAAAGAACTAGGAGGCAAAAGACATTTATAGTGGTGTAAATATAGGCATCTATATATGTAAATATATTAATATATAACAATCTGGATATAGGTCTATGTACATATATTTATATGTTAAGTATTAAGGTAGCAGACGTACATTGGGCCTTTACTCAAGTCCTTCCTGAATGCAAGAACAATTTGTTTTAGTAACCTGGCATTCTTTGAGGCTCACCCACGCAACCCAATCACTGAAGACAAAATGGGTGCATAAACTAATGTGGTGAAGAAAGCTGATGGTGCCTGGCTATTACAAAATATAGCTGGGGTCTTAAAGGCTTGAAGTTAACAAGCAGTCATCGAGCAGGGAAGCAACAAAGCCCACATGGAAGAAGCACAGTAACGAGTGTGATAACGAGTTGTCGATGGGATCAGGCATCAGAAGACCCAAAACAAACAACCTTTTCAATGGGAACAAGGGGGATTGGAATGGAGACCCGAAGCCCATCTGTAGGCAATTGGACAGCCCCTCACAGAGGGTCACAAGGAAGGGGACGTGCCAGCCAGGGTACAGTATAACACCAAGGAAATACACAGGATTCCTCTAGTTCTTTAATGCTTCCTCCCCCTGCCCCACCCCGCCCCCCACTATCATTACATCAATTCTACCTTACAAATGCAAGTAGACCAGAGCATGTACACTGGTACAGATATGAGCTCTTGACACACAGAATCCAGGACAGATAAACCCCCCAGGACCGATAATTAGAGTAGCGATACCAGGAGGTAAGGCCAAGGTCGGGGGAGAAAAGGGAGAACCGATCGCAATGGCTGAGCACTATGGGGACCATAAAATTCACTGCCATTGAGTCAGTTCTGACACAGAGTGACCCTATAGGACAGAATAGAATGGCCTCTGGGTTTTTGAGACTGTAACTTTTTTTTTTAAACAGTTTTATTGGCATATACTTCACATATTATACAATTTACTCCTTCAATCATATTGAGTTGTGTAATCCCCACAATCAGTTTCAGAACATTTTCTTCTCATACTCATTCCCCATTCCCCCCACATCCCCCAACCTTCCCTGTTAATCCCCTAGGCAATTATTCATCCAACTGCAGTGTAGGTTTACAAGACTAACGCTTTACGGGAGTACAAATCCTCATCTTTTTCCTGCAGAATGGCTGGTGGTTTTGGACTCCTGGTTTGGCACTCTGTCACCAGGGTCCCAAATATCTATCGGTCTACTTATAAATATATAATATATATATTCTATATCATCACTTAAAATATCCACTGTTCTAACTGCTGGTTCTGAGATAGAGGAATGTGAGGCTTCCTGCCTTTCTCTCTTCTTTAATAGGATTTTGCTTATCGGGTCAAACAGATGATGCTAATGCCACTTTATTTCAGCTCTTATCTTGTGCACTTCTGTGCCTGGCTATGGTTTTGCTGTTTAAAATGGCTCCTGGCACAGTACTATAGGGCTGTGTAGTGCTCCAATGAGCCAGAAAGCTGGATGTGCCTCACGGAGGAAATGCATGTGTGAGAAAACAGTTTAACTCAGGTATCAGTTATAATGTTAGTTGGAAGTTCATTACTAATGAATAAAAATACACGATGACATCTGTTTCTGTTTTGACTATTAGTGGGAAATATTTGAGTTTTTCTTCTCTGGCAGATTTCTGTGGTACACAGGCTCTGACTTTCACAGACTTTACTGTACACTAGATAACATGTCTCTTAACAGAAACATGTATCGAAAAGTTATGTAGTAATCAGTTGACAAAAAATTACAGAACCTAACCTTGTATTTTCTTTAGGGGCAATTTCTCAGTATGCATTAACTTTGCATTTTTGGCAACTGGTTAAAGCATTACTCTGAAAATAACAGGGATTGGCTCTATTTTTAGTACACTTTTTCTGATTAGTATTAATCATTGGATGGTGGAGAGATAATTGAAATGTTCTTGCAGAGTTTAAAGTAAAAATTTTGAATATAATGAACAATATGAGCATATTGTAAGTAGATGTTAGTAAATGAGATAACTTTCTATGCAAAGATTTTAATGATATACTTTTTTCAACTAAATCCTTCATCTATATTTTATCTTTTTGAAGTTGATTAAACAACTACTGTAAACTATTTTGTGATGTACAGTATTATAATCTGTAGGCCTTTTCTTTTTGAAAGAAATGGGTAGAGAAGCTGCTCTGGGAAACAGTTGTGCTCAGCCCTGAATTTGTATGGACTTTGGGCCTTGGAAATTGACATTCCACTAAAGGAGCCCAATAGTCAAGCAAGCAGGTGACCAACCTATCTTGAGACTCCAGGCAGGCCTTTCAGAAGGAGCCAAATTCTCCAGTTCAACAGATAGGAAATACTTTTTCAGGCAGAAAGAATGAGAATAAAATGGTATGTTGACTGCAGAGAGCTGTAGCCAGTTTGGCATTAGTAGGGTGTAAAGGCCTGGTAGGGTTTGTTCAAGGGCAATGTAATTGAGAGGAATTACTGAAACCTGAATGAAGGCCAAACATGATAGTGGGACAAGAGGAAAGTAAAAGGGAATAGGGGAAAGAACTAGGAGGCAAAGGGCATTTAGAGAGGTCTAAATACAGGCATGTATATATGTAAATATATTGATATATTACGATATGGAAATAGATCCATGTATATATATTTTTATGTTACTAAGGTAGCAGATGGACATTGGGCCTCTACTCAAGTACTCCCTTAACACAAGAACACGTTGTTCTAATAACCTGGCATTCTGGAATGCTCAGCTTTGAAGACAGAATGGGTGCATAAGCAAATGTAGTGAAGAAAACTGATGGTGCCTAGCAATAAAAGATATAGTATCTGGGGTCTTAAAAGTTTGAAGATAAACAAGTGGTCATCTAGCTGGAAAGTAACAATCCACATGGAAGAAGCACACCAGCCTATTCGTGATCATGAGGTCTTGATGGGATCAGATATATATCAGGCATCAAAGGCCTGATATACAAAAAAATTTTATCAATGTGAATGAGGGGAAATGTGGGTGGAGATCCAAAGCCCTTCGGTAGACAATTAGAGACCAGCCAGCCAGTCAGGGTGCAGTATAGCATCCATTAAACACACAACTTTCCTCTAGTTCTTTAATGCTTCCCACTTCCCCCACTATCATGACCCCAATCCTGCCTTACAAATCTGGCTAGGCCAGAGCATGCACCCAGGTACAGATAAGAGCTGGAAACACAGGGAATCCAGGACAGATAAACTACTCAGGACCAATAATGAGAGTAGTGTTACCAAGAGGGTAAGGAGAAGGTAGGGGGAGAAAGGAGGAACCGATTACAATGATCTACATATAACCCCCTCCCAGGGGCACGCACAGGCATTGGTCAGTGTAAGACATGAGAAAATAATTTATAAATTACCAAGGGTTCTTGAGGAAGGGAGGGAGGGATGGCCAAAAAATGAACCGACACCAATAGGCTCAAGTAGAAAGAAAATGTTTTGGAAATGATATGGCAACATATGTACAAATGTACTTCACACAATGGATGGATATATGGATTATGATAAGAGCTGTAGGAACCCCAATAAAATGATGTTTTTTAAAAAAGGATTTTAGAATTACTTGAAGGATAGCTGGAAAACTATGTTGAGGCAGTGTCTTAGAGGCCATGGATGCTCTGAGCTAGGCCGTAATTAGACAAATGGCTAGGACTGTAGGATTTTAAGTATAAAATTATATAATTGTATCAGTAAAGTTGAGGACAGAATAAATTCCTCAATTTAATCTGGTTGTATTTCATCTAAAAGATGTGGCAAACTATCACCTTTTATTTCTTAGATAAAGTTTCCAGCTTTTCTATCCTACGTTTTGTTGTGCAAAATGTCATAGAGTATTAAATTGCTTAAGGATATTTACAGGTGTCATTGACATTCTAACAAGAAAATCAAACTTACTGTCATCACGTTGATTCCAACTCATGGTGACCCTATAGAACAGAGTAGAACTGCCCATGTGTGTTTCTGGGGGTGTCACTCTGTACGCGACTAGAACGTTTTTTATCTTTCTTTATATTGCTTTATTATGACAGGTATTAATCTGGTAGCCATGGCTCAGCCCTTGTGAATGAATATTATTGAGAGCTTTGCCCTATCTCCTGATATATTTAAATTTTATTATGTCATCTTTAAAATATTTTGACTTAGATGTAATATACTGGTGAATTTCACACCAAATGAGCTGGGTGAAGGTTGACACCAGCTTCATCTTTCCTTGTATTATAGCAGTGTCTGTAATATAAAGCACACCTCCCCTGAAGTGTATGTTGCACTGCTTTGATTTGGTTTTACCTTTTCTTGCTTGCTTTTCTGTCAATTACCTTTCTTCCCTGGGGGCTGTCTCTTCCCCTACCTTCTCTACGCACACCAAGATTTGTTTTTAATCCAAAAGGCAATATTGCCCCCTAGTGTTTGCACATGATTTTTTTAAGCAAATTTTTTTCCATTTCAAACTCCTCATCCGTAGCTTACAAACTTAACATTCAGCAATAAACCCTAATTTTAAAAAAACTATTGTATTAATATTTTCCTAAAAATATCTTTAGTATCTCACATATCACATATCAAGCTCATAATTTAAAACAAGAATAACAGTACCCCAGACTCTGCCAATGATCAGTTGGGATGCATACCAACTCTATAGCACAGGGTAGAACTGCTTCCTGTGGGTTTCTGAGACTGTAGCTCTTTATGGAGTAGAAAACCTCATCTTTCATCCATGGAGCAACTGCCAGCCTTGTGGTCAATAGCCCAAAGTGTAACGCCACCAGAGCTCCAAAACTTTTGATAACATATAAACTCATTGTATATGAATTTGAAGAATATTTACCAGTGATGTTTGCAGAATTAAATTCTATAATGAGTAATTTTACTTTCTTAGAGTCGAGGTGGGAAGAAGTTTCTTGCAGTACTGAAAGAAATCTTGGATAGAGATCCCTTATCTCAACTCTGTGAGAATGAAATGGATCTTATTTGGACTTTGCGACAAGACTGCAGAGAGAATTTCCCACACTCACTGCCAAAATTATTGCTGTCTATCAAGTGGAATAAACTTGAGGATGTTGCTCAGGTAAGAAAAACTCATTTCTGTAGTCCTGTTGGGACTGTTACTTTGTTCTCTGGACCATGGAATGGATAGTTTTCTATAGCTTTCTGGGACTCTGTAGGACAGTGTAGAATGGCCACAGAGATCTTATGGAAGCTGAATAATGCATGTTTCTCCTGTAGATCAACTAATGGGTGCCCACTGCCAACCTTCTGGTAAGCAGCCCAACATGTAACCCGGTGTGCCACCACGGTTCCTTTTATACCCATGTGTTAGTCCGGGTGGATTAGAGAACCAAATTCATTGACACGCATGTGGATGAGTAAGGGGTTTATCTGCAATAGCAATTGAATATTGAGGAAACATCCCAGTCCAGATCAAATCCATAAGTCCAATATTAGCCCATATGTCTGATACCAATCTATAAAGTCCTCTTCAGATTCAGGAAACACATGCAATGACACTGAGTACAGGAAGATCACAGGCCAGTGGGGGAGGAGTCTTGTGGATCCAGTGGCAGTGTAAACATCTCAGCACTGTCAGGGATCTCCACCTGGCTTCTCCAGCTCAGGACACTAGCGTAGTTCCATGTGTTTATGAATTTGTTTCTCTAGGCTACCCAGACTAACACAACGCACATAAGCTTTATTTGGTGGACCGGAAACTTAAGATACAAAGCTTAGATTCTGGGTAGATTGCATTACTTCTCACTAAAGACAATTTGTCCTAGAACGTTTGTCCTGGAGCAGTCATCTCATCGGTTAAGGAAAGCACAGACTATCTACTAGGCAATCTGCTGCCAGTTTCTCCAGTGGATTTCACAGTTTGAATCTTAAGGCCATTTGCAATTACTGTTCTAAAATGGATTATTTAATTTTTGAAGATTGCCTTCAGGTGTAGAAGTTGGCATATTAAATCATAAGCCATTCAGGTAAATTTTATTTCAGGCATTCATAGGTGTCGGTGAATGTCTATCTTTAAAAAACTAAACAAAAACTCACTGCTATAGAGTTGATGCTGACTCACAGCAACCTTATAGGATATGAAGGAACTGCCCATGTGAGTTTCTGAGACTAACTCTTTCAGAGAGTAGGCAGCCCCGTCTCTGTCCTGTGGAGAGTTGGTGCTTTCAGACTGCTAACGGGGTGGCTAGCAGCTGAACATATAACCCCTGTGCCAGCAGGGTGTATATCTTTAGACAGAATGTACAGAAAGAAACAATTCCGTGTAATTTCAGTCACTTGATTTAGTTTCCAAGGCCCTATCTAAAGGAGCCCTGGAGGTGCTGTGCGTAAACCTTGGTTGCTGGTTCAAACCTGTCAGCTGCCATGCAAGGGAAAAGGTTGAGGCTGCCTCCCACCATAGAGATTTACAGCTCGGAAGCCCTGCATCGTGTGGAGATGAGTCAGAGTTGACTCAGGGTAGTTGGTGTGGGGTTAAAAACAGGCAGTTCTTAAATTCATATGACCACCAATGCTTAATAGTAAAACTATTTAAAGTGTTTTATTTTTTATCAGAATAAAATCGACCCTTTACCAGGTTTGTTCACCTTTAAAAATTTTATTCAATATCTCTAGTTCTAGTTTAGTAAATGTGTAATGACCTCAAAATTTTAGCAAAGAAACATATTTCTTTTAACCATATAAGGACAGACATTTTTACATTCAGGTATTTAATATGCTCATTTCATTTCAAGAGGAAATCTCGAGCCATTTTATATGTAAGCTAAGGTTGCCCATTTTAGTAGACGCAAAGCCAGTTACAGAATGTTGAGATGCAAGCAGACTCTTAACTATGTGTACAAGCAAGTGTTGAAAACCATGAATTTTATGATTTTAATGCCCATGTTTATAGTAGTCTAGAATAAAAAGAAAATAGTGAAATGAAAAGTAGTGAATGTTTGTTTTTCTTTGCACCCTATTGAATTGCCAGATACATGGAACTAGTACAAAATAATGTACACTATATTTAATTAACAAATCAATTACTCTGAGAAATGAGAGCCAGGAGCCTGGCGCAGTTGATTCTCTGCTTCTGCAGGGACAAGCTACAGAAGAGCACCAACCAGTAGTCATTGAGCTTTTTCCACCTCATGGTAAATCCATTTGTGTCAGAGTAGAACTGTTGGTAGGGTTTTTCATTGACTGCTTTTTTTAGAAATAGATTGCCCAGCCTCTCTTCTGAGGTGCCTCTGGGCAGATTCAAACGTGCAACCTTTGCATTAGCAGCTGAGCACATTAACTGTTTGCAATATTGGTTGTTGTTTTTTAATCATTTTATTGGGGGCTTGTAAAACTCATCACAATCCATAGATCCATCCATTGTGTCAAGTACATTTGTACATTTGTTGCCTTCATCATTCTCAAAACATTTGCTTTCTACTTTTTCCCCCTCCCTCCCCGCACCTCCCTCCCTCATGAGCCCTTGATAATTTATATATTATTATTTTTTCATGTCTTACACTGTCCGATGTCTCCCTTCTCCCACTTTTCTGTTGTCCGTCCCCCAGGGAGGGGGCTATATGTAGATCCTTGAAATCGGTTCCCTCTTTCCACCCCACCCTCCCGCCACCTTCCGGGTATGGCCACTCTCACCGTTGGCCCTGAAGGGATCATCTGTCCTGGATTCCCTGCTTGTACTATTTACAGACTTCTGTACGAGTTGTTGCCATGAGTTGGCCCCTGACTTGTGACCGCATGCAGCCCACTAATTCCCGGGAACATCCTGAGTTGTTCCAATGCAGAGGTCCTTCAAAACCCTTTGCATCAGGCCCTCACGGTTTTTATGGTTGAATCACATGTCCTCTCTAAATTAATTTCTTCCCTTTGTTAAATGGAACAATTCTGTTCAGTGATTATCTTAAAAAATATTTAACAACCAAAGATAAATTACCTTAAAGCAATGTTAAGTTCTAGAATCATTAGGCTAATGCTCTAGCTTTGCAGTTTATATTTATTTTGTGCCTTTAATTATATCTAGCAATACTTTTACCAGCCTGCATGCCTGCTTCTCTTCACTTTCAGTTATTTAATGGCTAGTGATTCCAGAATTCATGTATTCAATATATCACTCCCCCTACCACCAGATAAATAATAGCTTTTTATTAGTACTTATCTATAGGATTTTTGAATACTAAAGATAATCTTTATTAATTTGTATCAACAGGAATGGATTAGTGAAAGCATGCTTCTTTCTTTTAACTTGTTTCTGTACACCTATATACCAAAAGAAAATTGATTACTTTCTCCCCAATATTTTTGAACCGGTTTTCATTTTCAAATAGCTTCAAGCACTTCTTCAAATTTGGCCTAACCTGCCCCCACGGGAGGCCCTGGAGCTTCTTGATTTCAACTACCCAGACCAGTATGTGCGGGAATACGCTGTGGGCTGCCTGAAACAGATGAGGTATGTCCTCCTAGATGGCTTTCTTTGGGCAAGGCATAGCTTCGCAGTAGGTGGAAAATGATATGTCTCATGGAAGACAAATGGAAATGGCTAACAATTTACAATGGGAAAATTTTAAAAAGCTAGTTACTGTGTCGGGAAGTTCCCCAGATCACCCCAGGTTCTTTAGCTTCACTAGGAAGACTCCTAGGACTCCACAGTTAGTCACATCTGTGATTTATTACAGCAAAAGAGCGTAGAGCAAAACCATCAAAGTGAAAGAAGGTAAGGTGTGTGGGGCAAAGCCAGAAGGGGAAGCAGGTGCAAGCTTCCAGCAGTCCTTTGCCAGTGGACTCACTAGGTGCACTTTCCCCACCAGCCAAGTGTGTTATGACAGCACCTGTGAAATGCTGTCTACCAGAGGAACTTGTTGGACACCTACTTCCTAGATTTTGGTGGGGGACTAGTCATGTCAGCGTCCACTGCCTAGCAGGGAATAACACTTCATATACCCAGAGGGAAAGTGAAGAGTTAGCATAAATCATGTTGTTTTTACAATTAGTCTAGGTGCCGAGAGCCACTTTTATCAGGCTGGGTTATGGGAGCCCTTCCAAAATGCAAGTTCCCAGATAGCAGCCAAGGTCGTCCAATCTCATAAATAGGTTTTTCAAAGCATAGTACATAGGCCTACTGTGTTAACGCTTTACCATGCACAATCTGTATACCATCCAGAATTAAGTTTTAATATTTTCTCATTTTTAAAATTAAAACACTATAGTTAAAGTCTTCATAGCGTTCTTATTATATTCCTCCTTTTCCATAGGAACCAGTGTTAGAAATCTGCTGTATATCTATGCCCCATCCTTAATTATTATCATATATAAGGGGGCTTCAAAATTTTGCGGAAAAATTAATTCTATTTCCTTTAACTCAATTTTTGAGCATCCTTTTAGAAGCCCCCTCATGTATGTCTATTAAAATATAGATATAGAATACTATGGGCAATTTTTAAATTGCACAAATGTTTCTTGCCATATGTTAGGTCTGCCTTATTTTCATTCAGCTTTGCAATTCTTGTTTTCATTCAGCTCATTACCTGTCACTCTGGTTTATTCCTATCACTGCAATGCAGTATTTTATCATAGGGATATGTCATATTTGTTCCATTCCCAAGATTTTAGTTTTTACGGAATATCTTGGAGAACAAAGTCTTGATCCTAATAAGGCAAGAAAGTAAATTTCTCAAATACTGATGAAATTTTTATTTGGTAAAAGTGACTATAAATGAATCCATAGCTTTTTCAGTGTGATGAGAAAGCAGCCTTGGAGTACCCAGTTTTTTCCAACTCTCGGCTGACTGTAAATGTGAACAATAACTAATTGTATCTGCCTAGTGAATTTAATAAAAGTGTATCACCTATCTGGTCTTTTTACCTGTCCTGATTGGAAGTCTCCAGCTTTCTGTTGGATTAGTTTGGTACCACCGGTGCAGAGGATGTAACCTTTACCAGTCTAGCCCAATAGGACCGTTGTATTTCAATAAGTTAGTAGTTGGTAGTTAAGTAGGAAGTAATCTTTTTCTGCCATAGGTTGCTAAGTGACTTCTATTTTTCCTTTCAGTGATGAAGAACTCTCTCAATACCTTTTACAACTGGTGCAAGTTTTAAAATATGAGCCTTTTCTTGATTGTGCCCTCTCTCGATTCCTATTAAAAAGAGCACTTGCTAATCGGAGGATAGGGCAGTTTCTATTTTGGCATCTTAGGTAAGTCTTATTTTTCAGTTTCAGCCTACTGTGTGCTTCAACATAAATATGAATTAGCATAATATAGACAGAAAAGTTAGCTGGTTTTGTTTATTTTGAACCTTCTTTGACATTTGCACTTGTTTTCATGCTTTCTATTTCTTAGTATGCAATTTTTGGTTTTCATGATTTGGCAAAGTAATTCATGTAAATGTCCCTTCCAAACTGAAAATAATAATGGATGTATTGTTTTTTCCCCAGCAAGGTAAGGTGTGCATTTTGTTTTAATATGCTTGCACTAAGTGTAGATGTAGTGATTTCTTTCAAAAGATTATGGGTAGTAGTATCTTCATTGCTCCTATTGGCTGAAAATAACAGCAATGTGCTAAAAACAGCAATTTTATTTTCAGCTTCTGTATTTGACTGGGTCATTTTCAGAAACACATACATCTTACTTCACCAGATTCATATAGGAGTAAAAGCAGGAAAAAAGATTTTTTAAAAATCATTTTGGGGGGGGCTCTTACAACTCTTAGAACATTCCATATATCAATTATATCAAGCATCTTTGTACATATGTTGCCATCACCATTTTCTAAACATTTACTTTCTATTTGAGCCCTTGGTATCAGCTCCTCTTTTTTTCACTTCCTTGCCCAACCCTCACCCTGTTGGCCCCTTGATAAATTATAAATTATTATTTTTTCATATCTTATACTGACTGCTTTCTCCCTTTACCCATGTTTCTGTTGTACACCCCCCTGGGGGCTGGGGTTATGCATCGATAGTTGCAATCAGTTCCCCTTTTCCCCTCTACTCCCACCTTTTCCCTACCCTCCTGGTATTGCTACTCCCATTTCTGTTCCTGAAGAGTTTATCTGACCTGAATTACATGTGTCGTGAGCAATTACGTGTACCAGGGTCCTTGCTCCAGTCTAATCAGAACTGAAAGGCATGACTGGGAGAGTGCGGAGTGCGGAGGCCTCATAGAACAAGAGGAATACTGTGTGTTTCATTGGTGCTGTGCTGCAACCTGGTTGGCTCATCCCATCCTTGTGACCCTTCTGTGAGGGGATGCCCTATTGTCTACAGATGCAGGAAAAAGAATGTCAGTTCTTATGCTTTTTCATTGCTGACTCTACTCACACATTTTTGTTTGCTCAACCATACTTTAGAGTATTGCAACTAATGCACGTGAGAAGAAAAGAAAAAAAATTAAAACCTTTTTACTAAGTTTCCTAATGAAAATAAGCTCTAAAGTAAATTCTAAATTTTGAGAGTTTTGTTTCTTTCTGAACATTAGTTTCCTTATTATTGATAGTTTTTCTTATTTTTAACTTACCTTCTTTTGCCATCAAGTTAGTCTCCTTACTAGTAAACCACTCAGGGAATAACAAAATAATATCATTCTTTAAGTTGTTGAGTTATTAATCAATTGTGTTATGTTAATTGTGTTTAGATTGGTTAAACTACCTTTGTTCTTTGAAAGGGAGTCAAGTAAGAAATGAAAAATTTGAGCTTCTTAGAATAAAAGCTTAAATAATTATAAGCTCTTTTTTATAATTGTAACTTTTCAGACTTTACGGTATTTTCAGGTCTAAAGTATTAGAAAGCTGATCATCCTGCTAATAATTATGCCGTAATATATATGATAAACATGTTTATTTCAGAGTACACTATAAAGCCAATTTTTGTATTTGTATTTGATGATAATCTGAAATGTTTGATAAACAAATTATTTCAATATTATGAACTGCCTACAGGTCAGAAGTGCACATTCCTGCTGTCTCGGTGCAGTTTGGTGTCATCCTTGAAGCATATTGTCGGGGAAGTGTAGGCCACATGAAAGTGCTTTCCAAACAGGTATCAGCTTGTTTTAATTTCATGTTCAGTTCGATACATGGTGTTCAAGAAATTGCCCCAAATGCTGTTTCTCACAACACATTGTTTCTTTATTTTAAAAATTTTATGTTTATTATTGAAGAGTATAAATAGTATAACTTACACCAATTCAATCATTTCTTTACCATTATGTTCACTAACTAAACCTGATTAGTGCATACTTTTATCAGTAGTTAAATTAGGAATTGAAGTTTCTACACAGTAGCAGGATATTAACTGAATACTACCTGAAAAATATTCAAAATTTCTTGTATTTTCTATATTAAATACAATATATGTTTTGAACTGATGACCTTGTGGTTAGCAGCCCAATGAGTAACCATATGCCACCACTACAATATACTTATTTCTGAAAATAAGTCAAGTTTTACAGGACAGCATCAAACTCCTTTGTCAGATGTTAGTCTAGTCATGCTTTTTCACTTGGATTTCATTACCTGTGAGGGGAGTCTTGCCCCTAGCACATCATCACGGGTCCAGTAGGTGAAATTGTACAGTGATAATAAGTAACAATTATAGTAAAGTCATAGAGAGCATGAGAGATAGAAGAGAGATTGAAATAATGGAGTCAGACACATTTCATGGTAGCAATGCTCACCTCAGCCTCACTTGGTGGTCCACGTGGAGAGAGAGAAAGATTTAATGTAAGGTGACCAGATTTTAACATTGGCAAAGCGGGTCACCATTGACTGGGGTGGGGTGGGGGGTGGGGTGTTCCTTGATTAAAAATTTAGTCTATATGGAGCAACAAAAATTTTCATAGAACACAATAATAGTATTATAATATATTTTTTTAAATTTCAACATAAGTACAATTTGAAAATATAATACATTAAAAATTATGTATAGTATTATTTTATTCTTTGGCATATTTCTCATTTGAGTGAATTTTTTTTAGTAGATTGCTGTCGTTTAAAAGGCCATGAAATTTTTCACAAGAATTTGTTAAATTATATTTCACACAAAAAATGACTTTCAAAGTCTCAACACTTAATTGTGAATTTTCTGATGTCCACACTTTATTTACCATAGAAAAAAATGTGTTCAGTCGCAGCATTAGTTCCTGGTAAGGACAGCGCGTATTCCACAATTTTTAGTGCATTATTATATGGAACATGGTCTGTTTCAAAATGATGAAATATTTCTAACCATTTGTTCTCTATTGTGATTTTTGCTAATGCCCAAGATTTAGCCTTTTCCTTATCAATAATTTTTTTAATAATGATACCTCATTAAAAGATCATTTTTGGAAATATTACTATATGGGAAATTTTGAGTAATATGATAGAATGATTTTTGCACATCATTCCAGTACTGTCTGCTAAATTCAAGAAAATGTATGTATTTATGAAATAAATAAATAAACTACTTACCTAAATTATCTGAATAGCTAGTTTGTTGACATCACTTGTTTAACTAGCACTAGCGTGCAGTACGATGTGTATCGTCTGAGAGACAGTTACAAAATGTTTTTGTCGTTGCCAATGCCAAAAAATGCCATTGTTCATTAAGTCCAAACAATGGTTGAATTCTAACAACTGATCAACAATGTGAACTTTGATAAGCAGTTCTCCATAATCAGTTCTCAACAATTATTTGTTATTATTAAAGTTTAACATTTTAAAATTAACAAAAAATAATATAAAGCTCATATCCTGGCGAAATAGCCACATGGCAGCCGAAAACCATATGCCCTAGCTTGTTGTGCATTCTTTCCAAAAATTGGGACTTTCAAAAAACCCTGCGGGACAAATTGTTAAAAATCGGGACTGTCCCGACTATCCCTGGGGTATCCATGCAATAGGAAGAGGAGGGATTGGGGGTATGTATACATGTGGCAAGATGGGTGGGTCCTAGATTCAGGATGGCAGCCTAACTTTGGATGTCACTCCGCTGGCTCAGCTATAGAAATCATTATCAGTGGGGTGTGAACTCCACCTACAGGAACCAAATTAATGACTGCCTTTAGGGAGAAGTAGCCCATTGTCCTTAGCAGCAGGGACCAGGCCTACTGTGGTCTGGTGACTGACTGCCTTCAGGGAGGTAACTTGACTAGAGCTGCAAGCAGTGTCCTAAGTCTAACATATTTTGGGGAGACAACTTGGGAGAATTGTTCCCACAATTACCGTCCTATATATGCTTTTGGTTGGCATTCTTCCTCCTCACTCCATAGCAGAGTATACTTTAATTGGTTGTGGGGGAAGAGTAGTAGTAGTAGTTGTTGTTGTGGGGGAAGAGTAGTAGTAGTTGTTGTTGTTGTTGTTGTGTGTGTAAAGCAAAACATGCACCAATGTAATAGTGCCTGCTTGGGGATGGAGGAGGACCAGACGGTGTTTGGTTTAGAGTTGCTTTGAGTGGGCACTGACAGCACATAACAGCAATGTGTAGACTTGAGTGGCATTGACTACATCCAGGTTAGGTGACCATTCTCACCCTCCTTTTCTGTTATTCTTCCTCCACTGCCCTTATGTTTTCTAGTGTTCTAGCTGCTGTGTCATTTTAATCCCATATAGATAGATCTTTTTAATTTTTTGACATAGTTCTTAAAAGAACACAGTGCTCAAGATGGACATTTTTTCTAGTTAAACTGAATTGCTGTTCAGTTTTAAGAGGACTCCAGAGGATGTTTTTGGTTTAAAGATTATCTCATGGCTCCAAAATGTCTAGGACCTATGACAGTTTGAAATTCTATGTGTATCCCCCCTTCTATGCCCACCCCACTTATTGGTGAAGATTCTTCTGTACAGTTTTTGAATAAAGTATTCAGTACCAGTAGCTGGATACCATCTATTTCTTCTGGTCTCCTGGCAAAGGAGCAGTTTTTTTGTTTGTTTGTTTGTTTTTTTGTTTACAACCTACCTTATTTTTTTAACATTTTATTAGGGGCTCATACAACTGTTATCCCAATCCATACACACATCAATTGTGTAAAGCGCATTTGTACATTGTTTCTCA